CCCGTGCAAGCCTTTCCACGGCCTCTCATGTGTGTGGCAGGTCGACGGGACACACGTGCTGCAGATGGTGGACAACACCAGGCTCACCCTCCGCAACCGTTACCTGAGTGACGCGGACGACTTCGGAGAGGGGAGCAACGAGCTGAGCGCCTTTTTGGCGAAGCATGCGTCGTCGGAGAAGAGGGTGGTGAAGGTGACAGGCACCGACTCGACTGGGGCGCCAACCACTCATGAGTACACCCTCCATGAGCAGAAGATTAAAGGTCAGAAATCTGGCGGGGGCTTGGACGACTGCATCACACTAGCGAAGGGGTACATGAAGGAGCTGCTGAAGCGTTTGGAGAGCCGAATGAAGGATTTGGGCTCTCTCGAGGGCGCCAAGCTGTTCACGCAGTACCCGAAATCTCACTCGAAGCGGCAGCGGCGGTTCTTGCAGTGGCTGGAGGCTCTCCGCAATCTGTTTAAGCGAAAACCGACCGACCCTGACACCCTACCAGGTACGTCTTCGATGTCGGTTGTGCCTGATTGAGTCGGACATGTTGTTTGTGTCGCCATATGCCTCGTTGATTTCTTTGAGCCTGATGACTTATGAACACCAGCGTGGTCTAACATTACACTTCTTTCTGATTCGCACCCTGCCACCAGGAGTCAACTGGACGAGGGCACAGAAGGAGCTCAGCAGTTTCACCACCATCATGTCATCCCATCAGCAGGAGCTGAGCTTCCAGGACGGCCTGAAGCAGATGCTCAGCTCCCCCGACTGGTGCACTGCCTACCCCAACCTGGTCCGTCTTTGGATGGCAGTCGCAGTGCTGCCTCTGAGCACCGTGGAGTGCGAGCGGGGCTTCTCCCGCCAGAACATCATCAAGAGCTGGCTACGCGGCAATCTTAACGACGCGAAGCTGGGCGACCTGATGACCGTCTCCATGCTGAAGTACGAACCTGACTGGCCCGCCCTTGTGGAGCTGTGGAGAGGCATGAAGAGGAGGCGTCCAGCCAAGGATGTGGTGATGGTGCATGCGCAGAGGCCCGTGAAGCGCATGAAGAAGATCTTTGCGATGCTGGCCGCGAAGCAGGCGGCAGCAACAGCAACACCAGCAGCAGATGCTGCTGCTCGTGAAGCAGCAGCTGCAGAAGAAGCAGCCAGGCTAGAGGAGGAGTTGGGCCCCTGGCAGAGACGGGCACGCCACGGCAGAGTGCACATGGCTTCATATTCAGAGCTAGACGGGGACGATGAGGAAGATTATTCTCATGATAGCGATAGTGAATCCTAGTTCGTTTTCTTTGTATGGTTATCTGTAGTAATAGAGTATAGTCCGTGTGTAGAGTAGATTACATAGTTAAATAAATGTCTGATTTCATAAAAATCTGTCTGAGCGGACATACTAACTAAGAAAATCCGTCTGAGGCAAAGACCACCAGGAATCCTCCATATGAGGGCCAGACGATTTTTTTTTTTTTTTTGGAAAACGTCAGACGGGCCTAAGGGCGCGTAACCATTTTGCACCCGACGGTTCGAACCGTGGACTGTCCGGGTGGCGAAATGGTAACAAAATTCGCACAATGTCGTAAGTAGGTGTGAAAGTTTAGAAGAAAAGAAGAGGGTTGCACTAGCAAGAATGAGGATACAAATAGCAAACCCTAGAAGGGTTGTACTCGCTATAGAGCACCCCACTACAGGCTAGAGCATAATATTCTGACACACCCCCATAGCCAAAGTGGGGTGTAATCAGCAGAGCAAGCAAAGCAGTACAAGCTCAGGGTGGATCACAATGTCACCACACATTCTGAGCACAAGTTCAAGAAGCAATAGTTTAAAGTTCACAATTATGAGCAAAGCTAGTGGTAGTCACAACGGGCAAGTGAGGAGGAGGAGGGACAGTGAGAGGAGAGGAGATAGGAGGCGACGGCTGAAGCTGCAGACACACGGGCAACAGGAGGCACACTGGCACAGCGGCTACCGGAACAACGCTCCAGACTACTGGAGTAACTAGCCCCGCGGCTAAAAGTAGCGGCAGACGAGCAACGGACCCACGGGCGACTGGCACAAGTGGCTGCAACTGGGCTACCGGAGCAACTCCCCGGACTACAGGTGCTGCTGGCGATACGACTGTCAGAATCCCAACCACTAGACCATTGGGATAAAAGGGCTTGTTTCAGTAGTGGGTGAGTGCGCCCATAACCCCCCAAACGAACGCGCCTGTAACCCTCTCCAGGATCAATCGGGCATCCACAGTGCAGATCTACTGACACCCCCCCACACTGGGAGGCCCAGGACTAAGCACAGCGGCAACGGCCTACATGTGCATACACCGGTAATCGAACCCGAGACCGCTCTGATACCATGTCAGAATCCCAACCACTAGACCACTGGGATAAAAGGGCTTGTTTCAGTAGCGGGTGAGTGCGCCCATAACCCCCCAAGCGAACGCGCCTGTAACCCTCTCCAGGATCAATCGGGCATCCACAGTGCAGATCTACTGACAACGACGGCAACCTCCGTTCAGCTTCCCCAAACAGTCCCACCCCCCCTGACACACACCCACTGCTACACCCCTAGCTCCACTCCCCCTTCACCCCCCCTTAGTACCACTCCAACGGCTCCAACAGGTCCACCCCCCTTCAGTGGCAGCTGCAGTACTGGGAGACGGAGGAGGAGGAGGAGGAGCATTGGAACGGCACACAGAAGCTGCACCCCCATACCCCCCACCCCCAAACCCTAATTCAGGAGAACGGGCAGCAGGAGGGGTGGGGCGCCATCAGAAGCACAGGGGACAGCGGGGAGGGCAGTGGCAGCGAAGAACGGGCCGCCCACGGGCCTGGCACTGTCAAAATTAGAAGAAAGAAAGAGGATTGAACTAGCAAGAATGAGGATACAAATAGCAAACCCTAGAAGGGTTGTACTCGCTATAGAGCACCCCACTACAGGCTAGAACAATAAGATAATATTCTGACAGGCACAGCCGCCCGGACCGCGCGCAGGCGGCCCAAGACGCGCGCGGGCCTGGCGCAGCCCGTACGGGCCGCGCGCGGGCCTGGCGCAGCCCGTACGGGCCGCGCGCAGCCTATACGGGCCGCGCGCAGGCCATGACGGGCGACGGAGGGCGACGCGCGGGTCCCCGTCGCCCGTCGCAGCGCCTCCTGGGGGCGACGCGCCGAGTGACGGGGCAGAAACCCGTCGCGCGCCTCGGGGCGCACGGCGGGCAGAAAACCGCCGCGCGCCTCGGGGCGCACGGCGGGCAGAAAACCGCCGTGCGCCTCGGGGCGCACGGCGGGCTGAAAACCCTAATTTCGACGCCGCGCACCACGGGGCGCGCGGGGGACATGGAGTAGCAGTAGCAGCGGAAGCAATGAAGTGGTGGGGCCCACAGGCCCGGAGGATGTAGCTCTGATACCATGTGAAAGTTTAGAAGAAAAGAAGAGGGTTGCACTAGCAAGAATGAGGATACAAATAGCAAACCCTAGAAGGGTTGTATTCGCTATAGAGCACGCCACTACAGGCTAGAGCATAATATTCTGACAGTAGGTTCGCTAAGGTGTTGGCGACATCGCCAACAAAACGAACTGTAGTGACATTTTTTCCCACTTTCAAAGGTCCGAAATCTGAACCGTGGACAGTCCGAATCCCAAACGGACTGTCCGATAGTCCTTGCACACGATTGGAGGACGACGTAGAAATTGTCGAGTCACCTCGTCCACCAACAAATACGTACGAGGCCAGGGCCCACGTTATCAGGGCAAAACATCCTGATTACCCTGAATTCAGGATGCAGTTTTGAATTTACCCTGTCATATCAGAATAGTGCCAATTTTCACCCTGAGGTCCCAGGATGTTTTTATATGCAAAGCCCTGAAGTCTCAGGATGGCCGTAGTGTTCCCCCTTGTAGCGTCAGGATGAATATCAAGGCCAGCCCTGACGCGTTTTTTTTTTTTTGGGGGGGGGGGGGGGGGGGGGGGTTCGTCCCCAGGGACTTTCGTCTCCGGTGATTTTTTCCCCCGTGTGTGTTTCCCGCCTTCGCACGATCTTTGAGAGTTCTGTTCCGATCCCCCGCAACGCACCAGCCAAGACAAACCCATCAGACTAGGGGGAACAGGTTGGGCAAGGCAACTCGTCGTGTGCCATGCATGCACTAGCTGGGTGTCTCTCTGAGCACTCCTCCATCCAACCCAACCAACACTCTTCCAGTGTTGCTGTTTGAGTAGCACAAGTGAAGCTCGGCTGGCTCAGTCGTACTAGTCATGGCCAACGAGAACGATGGCGCGACGCCAATATCACGAGGTCTTACCGGCTTAGATTTCTTGCGTCCTGTTCGAGTGGTGTCCACGTTACCAACGGAGATTGACATTGACCAACCAGAGACAACCCATAAACAGAAATGATTCGATAACGACATATGTGAGCGTGAGCGAAATGCGTAACGCTTGTACAGTGATCACGAATACATTAGGGAAAAAGTGTCACAATTGTCTTCGGACAGTCCGAAGTTGCAAAAAAATCAATCGGACGGTCCTGTTTTCGATAAGTGGACCGTCCAACTCGTTTTAAGCGGACTGTCCGTCAAAATCGTAAAATGCAAAATGGTTACGCGCCCTAAAAGTTAGCAAGAGCCCTGCGGGTTACCCGCCGAGCCGTGAGGTCGGGGTGCGATGTGCGAAGGTGGCAGGAGGATTGTCGATGCGAGGGTTGCGAGTGGTAACGGTGCTGACTGTGGTGCTACAGTGATGTACGCGTTGAGCAGGGATGCGAAGGAAAAGGGATTTTCCTTACACATATGATCCAAACACTAGTGGCTGCTATGACTACAGCATGTGGAAGAAAAGGAAAGGAAAGGGAAGGAAGTCAAGGAGCTTCTCAATTCAAGGCACTACATAGGTACGGTACATCTGTAAGGCTGTGCATGGGCCATCCCATCCCATCCCATCCCAGACCTGTGCACGACCATCAATCTACGGTATGGTACCAGTAAAACAAGTATTCCAGTCAATGTGTTCAGTCAAGCTACGGCGAGTGGGAAGCGAGCCAACAGAGCATGTTCGTCTTGGAATTCCCATCATCGAAAGCGCCCAGCGCGGAGATTCTACCCCTCGCCCCCGCGGGATCATACAGAGCCTGCAGCGCCCACGCGAAGCCCCGCCACTCGTCAGTCACGCCGCTCCCGCTCAGCACGGGCTGCGCCCATTCCACCAGCTGGCGCGCGTACGCGCGGTCCGGGAAGAGGTGCGCAAGGAAGGGCGTCACGGGCAGCACCTGGATTCCCACGCGCTTGTCCAGCTCCGCAGGCGCCGCGAACCACAGCCCCGCATCGCGCTTCGTCGACCACACCATGCCGAGCATGCGATTCGCGTCCGCGAATACCGGCTCGTACGCGGGCGACAGCGATGGCGTGGGGGAAGAGGAACTTCCCGCTACCGGCACCTGCATCAGCACCTGCGCCGCGACGGACTCGACGGCCGCCAGCGTGGCGCCGAGGGTGGCCAATGGGAGGTCGCCGAAGGTGAACGCGAGGAGCGACGCGGCATAGTACGCGTTCGCGGCTTCGCTGAAGCTCTCCTGGTTGCGCCCGTCCGCGAAGTCGAACAGCCCGCTCGCCCACGAGTGCAGCGCGTACGCGTCGAAATGCCTCAGCCTTGGGAACAACGCGGTTCGGTTCACCGACATGTAGTCCGCGACGAGCGCCGCGAGCTGCGCGCGGTAACGGTTACCCCACATCGGGTCGAATTTCGCGACGGTCGCGGCTGCGTAGACGAAGTAACCATAATGGAAATGATGGTCGTTGTACATCCCCAGGCCGAAATCCGCGCCCTTGTCGCGCGACCCGGCTTCGCTCACCACACCGCCCCACGTGGGGTCGTACAGAAGGCGGTTTCCGGGGAAGGTTCCGTCCAGCCAGGCGGTCAGCGCGGCGCGCAGCGGCGGCAGGACCGCGGCGAGGCTGCCGTCGTCGTGCACCTGCTCCGCGATCAGCGCGAGGCGCGCCGCACGCGCCGCGGCCTTGCCGAAGAAGTACGTTGAGGCCGTGGTGAGCGGCGGGAGCGCCGCGACGTCCTGCTTCAGACTCGCCCGTAGATCGTCCATCAACTGTGAGTCGGACGAGAGGCGCGGAGAGTGCCACGTGGTGGGCGTCTTCGGCACTTTGAGTTCCCAAACCGCGCCTTTCACGCCTATTGCTCGCCCGTCTATGGTGGGGTATGAGAGTACCGTCTCCTGCGCCGCTCGCGCTGCGGACGATGATGACGCTGATGTCCAGGCCATGGCTGCCTGGTTTGACGCTGCGGGGTCGCCTGTTGCTGTTGATGCTGCATTGCCCTGTGCGGTTGGGAGGCTCCCCGTCTCACCGTCGCTGCTGCCGCTGCTGCTACTGCTTGAGTCCCACCCTGACTCGCCCCACCCACCGTCGGCGCGGGTAGAGGATAGGCCGGCAGGCGCGGGGTCAGGGGAGACGCGGATGGCGGCCGTGCCGTCGTTGGAAGGGGAGACGCTGCGGTGGCGGCGGAGGGAGGTGGCCGGGGTTGGGTTGTGCGCGAACACTCGCAGGCGCCGGTGCACTGCTCGTGGGGAAGGGGGAGGAGGTACTATCTTAGTAAGGACCATGATGCAGAATGGTCTGTTTTTGGGGCGCTTCAAAAGAAGATGGGGGGGGGGGGGGGGGACAATGGTTCCGACTGTTCACTAAAATTATCGGTTCAGGTTACCTTTTTAATTCCTCGTACAATGGTCAGATCCCATAGATGTGCGAGGCCTAGTTTTGGTCATGGATTCTGGCCTTGCCTTTTTGGTGATGATGTGTCCGTTCATGATGACGCTTGTGATGGCACAGGTGGCGCAGGTGGCAGCACACACGGAAGCAGTACACGTGGCAAGCGCAACTGACCTGGCAGAGACAGCATGAGCAGCGGCGTTTTGGTGCCGCCGGGAGCCAGCTTGCGCCACTGCTGCGTGCGCCAGCTTAGCTTGATGCGGAACGCGCCCACCCGCGCGCGCCCGCCCACCGGCACCGTCGCCACGTGCGCGTCCAGCAGCGCCTCCTCGCGCTGCGGGGAGTTGCCGGGCAGCAGCGCGATGCGCATGGTCCCCGTGAACGGCGCGCCCGCCACGATCGACGATCCATCCTGCCGCAGCGCCAGCGGCGACGATAGGTACACCAGCCATGTCTGCCAGCCGGGGAGGAGGGGCGGTACGTGGCGGAATGCGGTTAATGCGGGGTTGGCTTGGGTTCAGAGGATTGCATGGTTGTTGGAAGTAAGCGGATGGATGGGCAGCAGGGACGATGGATGGGCGAAAAACAAACGAAATGGGATACGCCCAGATTGGGGTCACAACCGGGGGAGGGGGAGGGGGGGGGAGGGGAAACGCCAGTGGCGGCGCGGCAGAGACGCGCAGAGCGGCGCACAACAAGGGCGGTGACCTCACCTGGCCGTTGTTGAGCGCGACGCGGTACTTGCTGTCGCCGCGCGCCTCTACGCTCAGAATCGCGTGGATCGTCTTCAGCACGGGCGTCGCGGGGGGCCCGCCCTGGGGGAATATGAAAGTCAAATACGGGGAGCCGCGCACCAGCGGAACCACGAGCGCGGGGGGCGCGGAAGGCGCGGCGGAGGGCGGGCGGAAGGAGAGGGTAACGGAGAGATCGTCGTAGGCGGAGACCTGGTGCGGCGGAAGGCCTTGCAGCGTGGAGAGCATGAGGTTGGTGATGAACGCCTGGATGATGTATGCCGGCTGCGCGTTGCGCGCCGGTATCCCCCACGCGACGCGCCCGTCGCCGCTCTGAACCACGTACGGGTTCACGAGCTCCGGGCTGCCGCCCTGGCCTAGCACGAAGTTTTGCCACGGCTCGTTTGTCGGGTATGGAGCCTGGGGGAACGGCAAGAAGTGGGGGTTTCAGCAAAGGAGACAATCAGTATTCAAGCGCGGGGTTAGGTGGGACGAGGTAAGGAGGAGGACAAGATGATGCGATGAGCGACGGCAAAAGGTGCTGTGGCCTCCGCGTATGAGCGCGCGAAAATGGGGGAATCGGCGCAAGCGCGCTGACGGGGAAGGCTGGGGGGACTCACGGAGAGGTTGGCGGACCAAAGGGCGGAAGGCGGAGGGGCTACAGTGGAGGAGAGCGAGGGGAAGGCCGTCGACGCCATGGTCGGCGTGGGGATGAGAAGCGGAACGAGCGCGGCGGGGAGAGCGAGGCCAGGCGGCAATCTGCGCGCCTGGCGGCGGTGAAAATCCTACCGCGAGTTTCCGTTTGGTCTGCGAGGGTGTGCGACTCACAGCGGCTTTGTGCTGCGGAAAGGGTAATCGATAGCTCAGCAGTGCAAGCTGTACTGCGTAGGCTCTGTGATTGTGAGAGCTATATAATGGCTTCAATAGGTGCATGCGAGCCGTTGTGATATGTGACTTCCTACGATGGCGGATAGCGAACTCGATGCGGCGGTGCAGGCCGTACATGCCCTCAACGGACCATGCGGTCCGCGACAGGCGATAATATCTGACACGCTTTTTGAGTCGGCTACACCTTAGCTCGACGGTAGCGGGTTGTTTTAGCGGGTTAAGCTGGCACTAATCGAATCCTTCTTTCAAACCAGATGCGTATGCATCACTGCACTGGTCGGTGTGGCTGTTTTGCACCTCTCCACTTTGATGCGGCAATGTGGCAGCCATGGTTGGTTGAAGCCATCTACTCTCGTGCCCCACGCAGTCGATGATGATGTGCGTACCGCACAAGTTGGATTGGGGGGCAGCAGCACGCAATACAGCCAAAGCAGCGAAACTACCATTCCACCCTCACATCTCTCACGACACCCACCCATCTCGCCTCAAGTCGAGTCTCAACATCATCGGGCGAAGTTCCCTTCCCCCTTACCTCACCGTGTCGCGCTTTCGCTCATCGACAGGCTGGGACCAAAGTCACGAATGCCTGCACATTTGACTTCAGAAAATGGTCACGAATATGTGCGAAACAAGTGTTACCTGTTTCCTTAGAAGGCACGCCCGCTATTCCTGGGGGTTGAGTCGACGTGAGCAAAATAGAGACGGTCGGTCCAACACGTTGGTGATCAGCCGTCGCTGACAGATGGCAAGTGATGGCTGGGTTGACCGACCCTGACTCACCTTCCTGCGGTTGCGCCTTGTCGCACCACCAACCATCTCGCATTGCGAGCTCACCTTTATTATTTCACAAGTAGCAATTCTGCACGCTTTTAGTGCTGTTCTAAAAATTCTAGAAGAGTGCAGGTAATTACTGCATTATTGTGAGGTGCGTTGCGTAGTTAACATGGGGTGCTTCACCAAGTCATGGGGTTAGGCCGCAGATTATTACCACCCTACGCGTGTGGGTGGGTGGTTTGGGCACAAATGGTTGTTGGACAAGTCTTGCACTGTGTGGGGATGATCGGCTGCAAGCTGGACGAACAGTACTTCCTATATTAGACTATCATAAGCATACTGGGTCAATCAGTCAGTGACTAGCGTATGCATCGCCTCACCTCCTTTGGTCGACGAGGTTTAGGATCTATGTACAGTATGTGGACAAATAACACCAGCATTTCCTGCTCCGGGGATATTCACTTGTATCTCGTAGCTTGCAATGACACATACACTTTTCAGAGGAATTTAGAACCACCCAGTTTTTTCACTTGCTTCACAGCAAAGACTCGCCACTGAAAGAACACAATCAATGGTTGCGATACACCCCATCACCGAATTCCTCGTCGCACAATTCTGAGATTCCTTTGCACATGTAGTCGTGCTGAATGCTACACGCCTCGCTATCATCAAAGTGGTCAAAGTGTGAAAAGAGTAAGCAGGAATGAATGAACTATGAATGAAAGCAGTACAAATATGAAACCCTAACTGGGTTGTACCCCCTATGGGATACCCCACTACAGCCTACACAGCAGTATAAGCTATAGATATGTTCTGACACACCCCCATAGGCAAAGTGGGGGAGAACAAGGGGTCACAAGACCAGTCAAGCAAGACAAAGCAAAGCTCAGGGTGGATCACAAAGTCACCACACAGTCCGAGCACAAGAGCAAGGCCAAAGGCCAGTTCACAAGCAAGAGTACAGACATATATATAAAGCTAGACAAGCAAGAGCAGGTATATATATATGTCACAGTACAAGTGAAGTCAAGAGGAGAGCAAGTGAGGCAAGATAGGCACAAGACCCAGCTGGGTGCAGAAGCGCTGATGGTCACAAGGCGCAAGTGCCTTGGTGAACACATCAGCAGTGTTGGCCTCAGAGGCCACGTACGCAAGTCGCAACTGACCACGCTGCTGTAGCTCACGAGACAGGAAGTAGCGGAGAGCAATGTGCTTCGTTCTGTGCTCCAAGCGCTGCTCTCGACACAAGGCCAGCATAGCCTTGTTGTCTACGTACAGCACTGGAGGAGAACGAGGCGGCTCTCCAAGGTCAGTCAGCAGGTAGGTGAGCCAGCGAAGCTCCTGTGCAGCCATGGCCCCGGCGTAGATCTCAGCCTCACAACTGGAGCCGAGAACCGAAGACGAGCGAGTAGACCGCCACGAGACAGAGCCGGAACCAAGGCTGAAGGTGTAACCCTGTGACGACCGCTGCGTAGCCTGGTCGTCAGCCCAAGAAGCGTCCGCGTGGCCGGTAAGGACCACTGGACTCCGCCCTCCAAGCACTAGCCCCATGCCTGACGTACTGCACAGGTAACGCAATACCCTCTTCGCTGCAGCCATGTGCTCCGGTCTGTGTCTCCCAGGAGCAACATAGCGTGCAAGAATGCTCAGAGGGTATGCAAGGTCAGGTCGTGTGCAGGTCATCAGGTACATGAGGCAGCCAACAAGCTCCGCATACGGACCACTCGACTCTACGGACTCATCCGAAGGCAGAGCTGAGAGTGAGTGGCGAGTAGGCAGAGGAGTGGCCTGAGGCGAGGAGTACGTGAAGCCGAAGCGCTGAAGGACCTGCTGCACCATGTGTGACTGAGTCAAGGTAATGGTGCGGCGTGCTCTGTCCCGAGTGATCTGCAAGCCAAGGTAGCTGCGCAGTTCACCCAGGTCTGTGCACGTGTGTCTCTTCAACAGCTCGGACTTCACGTAGGCGAGTCCAGCAGTGTCCGCTATGGCAAAGACCAGGTCGTCGACGTACACGAGGATGTAGAACGGCGGCAGGGAAGTGTCGGTGCGAAGAAACAGCGACGGGTCAGCAGTAGAAGGAGCAAACCCAAGAGCCGCAAGCGTAGTCCTCAGTGTGTCGTGCCACTCACGTGGTGCCTGGCGGAGACCGTAGACTGGCCGTCGGAGGCTCCACTGGGTGCCAGGAGGGAAAGTCCCAGTGAAGCCAGGTGGACGGCGAAGCCAGATCTCCTCGTGCAGGCTACCCTGCAAGAACGCAGTGCTGAAGTCGAGAGAGTGAAGCTCGTAGTCGCGCTGAGCGGCTATGTGCAGCAGCACCCGAAGAGTAGTCATCTTCGGGGTGGGAGAGAAGGTCTGAAAGTAGTCAACTCCCTGCCGCTGACTGAAGCCACGAGCAACGTACCGTGCCTTGAAGACAGGTGGAGAGCCCGGCGGCCGCTTCACCCTGAAGATCCACATGCCACTGACGATGTTCGCCCCAGGAGGGGGAACCGCGTCAACGTAGGTGCCTGTGGACTTCCAGGAAGCCATCTCTGCATCCATAGCTGCCTGCCACTGAGAGGAGTAGGGACCCTCTACGGCCTCCGCGTAAGAACGCGGAGTCGGGATGTCTAGTGCATCCGGGTCTCCCTCAGGGGCAAGCAGTACAGACGCGAGATGAGGTGAAGCAGCCGCTAGACACTGTAACTCCTCCTGCCTGTCCTTTAGGACGTCCGTGCCAAGAGCACACTCACCCCCGACGGACGGAGGACAGACAGACGCAGACTCAGCAACAAGACTAGCAGCGTAGTCGAGACGACAGCGAGCAGCAAAGTCGACGAGCTCAGCGACTAGAGCAGACGCAGCAGTGGACTCAAAAGAGGGGTCAGTGACGACAGTAGCAAGCAGACGCGTGATAGTGGGACTGGCAGCACGAAGAGAGTCCGACTCAGGGTCCGCAAGCGCAGGAAGAGAGGACTCAGGAGGAGAAGGCAAAGGGGCACGCAGAGGAGCAGTGGACGGACGTAAAGACATCCGGTGCGTGCCAGGGACAGGAGGAGGACGCTGACGCGAACTGCGACCACTAGCGCGAGCAGCACGAACAGGCGACGCGGGACGAGACGCAGGCTCACGACGCTCAGCAAGACCTCCAGTAGGACCATTGTAAGGAGAGGGAGCAGGCAGTGGAGAGGAAGGCTCCAGTAGGGGCTGCGACTTGACAGGCGGTGGACCCTCTACTGGAGGAGAAAGACCAAGAACCTGCTGAAGGAGCGGAACGAAGTACGGCCGAGGCCGCGCGGCAGCTCCGGACTCAGCAGGGACAGCACCAGCACCCTCAGCGACAGCACCAGCGCCACCCACACCTCCAGCGGCAGGACCAACAGCAGCAGGCTCAGCACGAACGCCCTCAGCAGCTCCAGCTCCAGGAGGACCTGCAGGGCCAGCAGCTCCGGGACCGGCTGCACCCGCACCCTCGACGGTCGAAGAAGCTCCAGCTCCAGCTCCAGCAGCACCTCCAGACTCAGCAGCACGCCTCCAGCGGCGAGCGAACCACTCGCGCAGCTCCTGTGGAGAGAGGGGCTCCCGGCGAGACGCAGCAGCAGGAGAAACCCCAGGCTCAGCAGCTCCAGACGCAGCACCCCCAGGCTCAGCAGCTCCCAGCTCAGCACCCCCAGGCTCAGCAGCTCCCGACCCAGCACCCCCAGACCCAGCACCTCCAGGCACAGCACCCCCCGGCTCAGCACCCCCAGGCTCCGCACCCTCCGCAGTAGCACCCTTAGGCCCAGCACCCCCAGCAGTAGCACCCCCAGGCTCAGCACCCCCGCGCACAGCACCCCCAGAGTCAGCACCCCCAGGCTCAGCACCCGCAGCAGCACCAGAGTCACCAGTAACCTCGACCGGGTCAACGGCGTCTACCTGGGACACACCTGAGGGGGCAGGAACCTGAGGGGGGAGGGGGTCTACCGGGGGGGGAACCGGCACAAGGAAGTCCGGGGGAGGGGGGAGGGAAGGAGTGCGGTAGGGGAAGAGACGGTAGAAGGGGACTGACTCGTCGAGC